AGCAGCAGCAACAGCAGCAAAGGCAGCAACAGCAGCAGCGGCTCCGTATGTTGCAGCAACGTGAGCAGCAACATAGTTTGCCGCTGCAGCCTCTCTCTGTGATATTTTCAGGCCCTTCTTGCATTCCCTGATGACCGTCTTTTGTTGTACTGTGCTTTGTGTCTCTGCCCATCCTCTAAGTAAGTTTATTTGCTGCTGCTGTTGCTGCAGCAGCAGTAGCAGCTGCTGCTGCTGCTGTTTTCGTTGCAGCGAATTGTTAGCACGTCTTTTCTCTGTCTCGCTCTCCTTCGGTGCATACTCAGGTGTATGTCCACCTATGCCGTGTTACCTCATGCATTCATCTGCATGAACTTTGGTCCTGCTGCTGCTCCTACTACTCTTGCTGCTGCTGCTGCTCCTACTACTCTTGCTGCTGCTGCTGCTGCTGCTGTGCTTTCTGTTACTGCTACAGGATCTTTCGGTTGGTTCTTAAACGAAATGAAGCAGAGCCGGCCTTGTGGCTCACCTTTGCTTCCTCACTGTTCCTGCAAGCAGCAGCAGCCGACACGTCTGGTCACAGCAGCAGCAGCAGCAGCAGCAGCAACAGCAGCAGCAGCAGTAGCATTGGAACGAAAAAAAACTCCCCGCAGGCACTGGTGCTTCAGGGAAGAAAGGTGCTGCTGACGTGCTGCAGTGCCTTTGCAGCGCATGCGCCCCTTGCAGCTTCTTGGGCCTTTCTCGAGCTGACTACTGCAGCTGCTGCAGATGCTGCTGCTGCAGAAGCTGCTGCTGCAGCCGCTGCTGCTTCAGATGCGGCTGCTGCTGCTGCAGATATGCTTACGCATGAACTGGAAGAGGAGCAACGGCAGCAGAAAGGTGGAGTCCTCCCACCTCTGTTATGCTTCAGCTGGCCATGGGCATGTTGGTTAGGTAGCCTAGGAGGCATGGCTCCTCAGCAGCAGCAGCAGCAGCAGCAGCAGGAGCAGCAGCAGCAGGAGCAGCAAGTGTGCGTTCTGCCTTTTGAGGGGTGGGGAGTTGCGGCCGCAGCGATGCATGTAGCCATGTGTTCTGCTGATCGTTCGTTTGCCTCCTTTAACCCCGCCTCGCCTGGGGTCCTACAGCAGCAGATGCAGCAGCAGCAAGAGCAGCAGCAGCAGCTGCAGCAGCAAGATGCGGATAGCTCTATGGAGGCAGATACTGCGGCAGGTCCCCTTCCATTTGCTCGGTCTCAGGTGGCTGCTTGCTGCGCCGTGTTGCTGCAGCGCTCAAAGATTGCTGCAGCTGGTGCTGCTGCAGTTGCTGCTGCGAATGCCAGCGCCTTTCCCCTGCTGACGTCTCCTCCCTGGGCAAACCTTTTCCTTGCACTGCTGCTGCAGGCTGCCTTGTCGCCGACGGCTGCTGCTATGTGGGGCGTCTTCGAGCAGCACTATGCTGCTGTTGCTGCTGCTGCTGCTGCTAGCGCTGCTGCAGCGGCTGGTGGCAACGGGTGCTGCGCCAGCTGCTGCGGATGCTCGTCAGCCGGTGGGGGTACGAGTTCCGATGCAGCTTCAGGCAGCAGCAGCAAAAGCAGCAACATTGGTCTCAACAGCAACGCAAACAATGAGAACAGCAGCAGCAGCAGCAGCAGCAGCGCCTGTAGTGGAAGTCCACTGGCGCGCTGCGGGCTCTGCAGCAGCAGTGAGGCAGCACGATGCGAGGAGTTAGCGTTGTCGTTTATTTTGGTTCTTCTTCTGGCTCTGAGCGTGCCAGAAGCAGCAGGAGAGCAAGAAGCAGCAGCACGTAGCAGTGGGGCTGTGTCTGCTGCTGGAGAAGGCGGGAGCTTGCTTAAGGCAGTGGACTTCATGCTGCGGCGCTTTCCATCGAATCCTTTTTTCCTTGCGGTGTACACGCAGGTCCGTCAGCAACACCTGTATCTTTTGTTTTGCCATGTTTTGTATTACTGCTTCTTCTTCTACTTTTCTGTATCCTTGTCTCTCTCTAACAACTACACAGAGAGCAGGGTTGCATTCAATCACTTTCCTGTTTATTTTGCTGCCCCTAGAGGTGTTGTTGCTTCTGCTGCTGCATCAACTCTATCAGCGTGCGCACACAGGTTCAGCATGAATGCCGCTGCTGTTGCTGCTGCTGTGTGCTGCAGCTACTCTTGCGTCCTGGAGTCAAGGGACGTCGTGCTGTGCGGGCGCTCTACAAGGAGTTGCTGCTAGGACCCCGCGCAGCAGCAACAGCAGCAGCAGCAGGAGCAGCCAGGGCAAAACCTGTTTGCTGGTGGCCTTCTGCGGCGACGCTGGAGAGTGCGTTTATGTCTGAATGGTTGATTGCTAGGAAAGCAGCGAAGACAGTTTCACAATGGTATGTACTCAGCAGCGGCAGCAACAGCAGCACTAGCAGCCCCAGCAGCAGCAGCAGCACAGGTCGTGACATTAGTGTTCATAGCCGCAGTAGCTCCAGTTCATTCCTACCCATTTGGTTTGCGTCTTGCTACTCCTGCTGCTGCTGCTGCTGCTGCTGCTGCAGGCGGTTGGAAATGCTGGCTCAGTGGGCCAGCAGGCACACGAGCTTTCCCTTCACGCTGCTGCAGCGGCTCCCCGGTGTTCAAGAGGGAATGCCTTGTGGCACAGCAGTGCTGCAGCGGGAGCAGCAGTTTTGGGTGTATCTCCAGGCTCTGCTGCTCAGCATGAACAGCAGCAGCACAAGCAGCAGTATACGCGGTGCTGTTTCTGACGCAACAGGCGCTGCTGCAGTGCTGGAATCTCTCAACGGCACAGTCATCGCGAGCCTCTGTGAGAGGTTGTGGACCCCACAACTGCAGCAGCAAAGCCAGGCTGACGATAGGGAGCAGCAGCAGCAGAAGCAGTACAGAGACAGACTGCAGCACGAAGCTTCTCTTATGGAGGAGCGGCTGCTACAGGCCGTCTGTGGGTGCCCCTTTTCAAAGAGGTAAGAAAAGAAACTGCACAATATTTCCGTCTATGTGTAGATTGCACCTCCATAGTTTAATACATATCCCTTTCTGTATTATTTACTGCATGTTTCTGTTTCCTGTTTCCTTGTGTCTTCTTCTCTCTCTCGTGCTCACCCGCTCCTCTGGTGCGCACTGGACAGCTACCACAACGGCGGGGCTATGGGGCTCAGCTTATAAAGGTTTTATCGAGTTTGAGGTTTTAGGGTTTACGGTGTGTCAGCTCTGGGGTGCTTGCGTCAGGATGTGGCTGTTGCTGCTGCACGTACAGCACGGTCGAAGGCGTCAAGACGGAGCTGAGGCAGCGGCAGCTCTGACAGGAGGCGCAGCAGCAGCAGAGGATGCTGTATTGCTGCTTGTTGATGCACTGCAGCGGGGCCTGCACTTCTGGGCAGACCCTGTAGCAGCTTTAGCGTTCCCATAGCCGCAGTGCCCCCTACACAGCGGCCTCTAGTTTGATGCTTTCTACACTGTATCCCTCCGTTTCATAAACTAACTTCTGTTTCCGCCTAGCCTCGCCGCCCCCCCTGCTTCTTCCTTTCCTCATACCCTTGCTGCTCACTGCAGTCACTGCCTCCTTTTGACTTACCACAATAAAAACTTATTTCTCCTTTTTGCCCTCTCGAGCTGCCGCTTTCTCCTCTTATTCAGGTTCTTCTAATTCATGGCGGGCCCTTAGAGGGAACGGCTGCTGCTTCCTAGGCACAGCGAAAGCTGATTTCTTATTGGTGTTGATTGCTGCAGTGTTGCTTGCTGCAATTCTTCCACGCACTGCGGCAAGCAACTGAAATTATACAGCTGATACGCAGTTAGCTAGCTGGTTAGCGCCACTGCTGCACAAACTCTGTACTTGAGTGCGTTCAGTTCACTGGGGTGTACGAGGTGCCTCCAGCCAAGACACCCAAGAACAGAACTAAACCAGAAAAAAACAAAACAAAGGGAGAATCGGGTTAATTTGCCTTAGGAAAGCTGTCATTGATCCCCCGTGTCTACTGCTGATGTTAACTGTCATCTATCTATTTGCAGCAGGCAGCGCGAAGACGGCAAGCGGAGAATCTTTCCTCTCGCTCTTGCGCGTGAAGGAAGTGCTGCTTGCTCTGTCTCCCACACACGAACTACTGCTGGCTGCCTCAACGCCGTGCCAAATAAAGTCTGCTGGCAGCTACCGGATATCTCTATACAGTTTTCGCTTTCCGTAGCATACAGTGTTCAAATAGGTTGTTGCCTTTATTCCCCCCCGATGCAACTGATGATCTGCTCGGAATCAAACACCCTGCTACTGTGGAGAAATGCTCGGTTGCTGCTGCTGCTGCTGTTACTGTTACGGGGGCTCGGGGTCTAGAACAACCAGCAAAGGGACGCAAGCTTCTGAAATTTCTGAACTGCTCCAAGAGGTTGCTTGATCCTTGTTAACTCTACCGTCTGAGAGTATGAGAGCCACATGCAGGGTGTTGCTGCTGTTGCTGCTACTTCCCTGAGTCATCCCGTGCATCTGCAGCAGTTGTAGCTCTGTTGCACCCGCTGGGCGTCGCCTTAGCGAATTGGCCACAGTTGACTATGCATCAATTCAAGTATGATATAAAAATATTTAAATAGAATATAAATAAAGTCGACAGACTTCTATGAAAAAAAGAAATAAACACACGCGAATATGAAATAAATGAAATAAACATATCTGAATACAGAACAAATGGAATCAGCATACTTCAGGAGTCATATCAGACTCTGCTGCGCTTCAAGGTAGGAAAGATACTTGGCCCGTAGCAAGCTGTGGCCACTTGCGTCTGTCGATGAACCAGTGACAAATGTAAGAACCGTAGTAGCTGCTACTTGTCTGCTGCTGCTGTAGTTGCAACCACAGCATCAACTTGCAGAAAGCTACGTTTCAACTGCGTCCAACAGCAGCAGCAACACGTGAAGAAGGGGGATAGCTGCTGCAGCTGCTGCAAGCATACATAACAGCAGAGCCATCAGCGAAAACAACAACGGCGACAACAGCATCATGCGGTTTCTGCACTGCTGCGACGGTGTGAGATCACGCACGACGAGAAAGATGCCACCCCTTTCGAGAACTCTCACTGTTGCACAGCAATACCTGGTGTTTGTTCTCCTTCTTGTGAGTGGAAGCCTTGCGTGTGCAAGTCGCTTTTCTGCACTACACGTTGCTATCCGCTGAGCGTGAATTAGATAATTCACTTATATATGCTTTTGTAGCTGGCTTCACTTGTGTCCAGGCAAACCCTAGCCGATTGTTTTGTCCATGTATGCACCACAACACGGAAACGGTAAATCCTTTACATCATACAATAGCTGTGCGTATCAGCTACTTGTGATTAATCAGGTTCATCAAGCACAACCAAATCAATCAGAAAGCAGTCTCTGCATGAATTTCTTACGGTGTTCTTCATGCGTTCTCCATCTGGCTGTACACCAACCGCTTAATCAACCATGGCAAAGGCAATTAACGCGCATCTCCATGGAAAGCAGATGCTCGCTCACCTCACTAACCCAGCAAGCATATGGAAGAGTAACGCAAGGAATATTTTCATGACAACTGCGTGGCATTCTTAAGCTAGTCAAATGCCTCGTCATCGAATCG